CCCGAACCCCCGCCGGGACCTTCCCCCCCCGCCCCCCCTGCCCGCCGGGGCCGCGTCCTTCAGCTGCGGCCTGCCCTTCCTTCCCCGGGCCGGGGCCGCAGCCCGGGCGAGGGGCCGGGCCCGCCGGAGGTGGCCCGGAGGCGACCGTTAGCGGGCGGGGCCGTGAGGGGAGGTGGTGCGATGGCAGCTGCCCTGCGTGTCGGGGGCGGGGAGGAAGGAGGGGCGGCGGGGCCGATGGATATACAGCCTGCCGCCGCCGGGGCTGGGGGGCGAGGCTGCCGCCTGGCCCGGGGGAACGGCGAGGGCATTGCGGTGAGGGGATGGAGGGCGGCGGGGCCTGCGGTGCTGGTCTGAGGGAGGGCGGGAGGCGGAACCGGGGCGGTAGCGGGGCCGTTAGGGGGAGGCCCGGCGGCCTCGGGGCGCGGTGCCGGGTGCCTGGCTGAGGTGGGGGGTTTCCCGGAGTGTCCTGCTTAGATCCCCCCGCGCCTCCAGAGCGGCGGTGGCGGCTGCGCCCCTCTGCCGGGCCCGCCTGTCCCCCCTCAGGGGCCGGGGTGGCGTCTCGGCGGCGGCTGGAGCCGCTTCCTGCCGGTGCGCAGGGGCTGCCTCCTGTGCGGCTCCCCCGGGGCGGGGGGTGCTGGCCCCGCGGCGTGCGGCCGGGCGGCTGCTGGGGCTGCCGAGCCGCGGGGGGAGGCTGTGCGGAAGAGGGTGATGGAGCAAGTGTTCTTCCAAGCAGCGGAACCCAGCTTTAGGATTTAACCCGCTGACTGGTGATACCCAGCCCCTTCCATCCCCTCCTTGCGGGGTGTGTGTTCCATCACCGCGGAGCCGGTACCGCTCGTTTTCCCGGAGCGGGACGGCTGCGGGGAGCACCGGCACCCGGCCCTGACCGCCAGCCTGGCGTGCGGGGGCTCTGCGGGGAGCCGAGGCCGAGCTGGGAGAAGCAGTGGCAAGTGGGGTTTAACTGGGACTAGCCTGGAAGGAAGCCTTGTACCTCCGTGGAAGGGCTTTGCCGTGGGCAGAGCCTGTGGCTCGGCTGCCGTGGGGGTTTGCAGGTCGGTTCTTGGGACCGGTCACGCTGATGTGCGCTATTGCAGCGCTCCTGGCTCAGAGGAGTGTTGGGGCAGAGAGCTGACAATATGTAATGACTGAAAAAACCCAACCTGCCAACCAAAAAAAAACAATCCCGTAATTAAGCCCAAGAGAACTTGAAGGCTGGTCATAAAAAATACCGGTGAGCTGGTTATCGTTTTTAACCTTGGGCAAAATTGGGCAGGTAATAACATGAAACAAAACTGAGAGGAGTCATACGTGACAGTAAGTAGCAGAAAATTCAAAGGCTTAGGACTGAACTTAAAAAAAAAACCAACAAAAATACCCCCAAAAAAACCCCAAAAAACCCAAGAAACACTTAAATAACATGAAACAAAACTGAGAGGAGTCATACGTGACAGTAAGTAGCAGAAAATTCAAAGGCTTAGGACTGAACTTAAAAAAAAAAACAACAAAAATACCCCCAAAAACCCCCCCAAAAACCCAAGAAATACTTTAAAAAAAGAAATTCCCAGGGCTATAGTAGAAAAAAAATAATTTTACAGGTAAGAAGTCTTAACTGCCATGTTTTGTATCACTGCAAGCAAATCAGCAATATATAAGATTTTATTTAAAAACTACTTCTCTGTGTGTGTATGTATATATATATGGCTTATTTTTCTTCCCCTGTATTGTTTTCAAGGTTATTTTTGGCCTTTTGTGCGGATGGCTTCAGAGAATGCTCCAGGAATAGGGTAAGAATCTTAAGGCTTTTTGGCACACTTACGTGCTCTCATTATATAAAAAATAAACTAAACTAGATCAATTATACAGGGATGTTGAAGCTGAAAGCATGTTGAGGCCTTTGGTATAAAGAAAGCTCAAAGCCTGTATTTCTGAATGTTTTAGAACATGTGATGTTTACAGAAATACAGAAAATTTTGGACAAAAACTTATGAACAAAAATACATGGGAGTAGCTACTGTAGCCTTTTTAGGTGTATGAAATTGCATTCTGTTAGCTTTCAGTGCCTCTTGCTTTTCAGTGATTTGAAGAGAATTCTTAGCAACAAAACTGGAAATTCTCTTTTTTCTCAAAGGTATTTGGTTTTGTTCTTCAAATGGTCATATATTGTCTTAAATTTAACATTTTATTGTATTTAAGTATATTTGTTTTCAGTTATTGTTTAAAACCCGAGTTGATATTTTATGCAAATTCAATACTTTATATTAGCACAGAACTGTTCCAACAAAGCTGCAGTTTTATTGCATTTTGTCAGTTTGATACTTTTACTTTAATGGACATCTTGCTCTTTCAATGCTTGTTCATCAGTCAGAAATACAATCTCTGTAATTCTCAGCAAAGCATTTGAAGTTATAATCCCTGTAATCCCTGTAAAGTAATTTAATGTGCGGTCTATTTTGAGACTGTCCTGGTTATACCAGTAATATATTTTAGTTTTCTAGTCTATGTTATTTTAATGAATGATTTAATTAGCTAATTTTGATATTATGTTTAATTTAAATTTACACAGCATTCTTCATAAAGTCTTGATATTGCATAACTTTGCAGTTACACTATTTATAGAAAGTTATACAAAGTTTATCTAATCATTTGATTATGTTGTTGCACTTGGTGGATGGTATGAGTAACTCTGCTTTGAGGATATTAGGTTTTAAGAGACTGGTGTCTTTTGACTGTCTCTCCTTGCCATCTGTTGTCTGTTTCCAAGTTTAGAGCTTCTGCTTCTTGAAACTGGTACCCTTTTTGCTTGCAAAATGACTGCCTCAAAATTGTCCCTCTAAAAAAGAAGGAAGACATGAAGGTCAAACTGAACAAGCATTAGGCTGTGAGAACTGTTTATCAACGGTTGTGAAGTTTTATTATATTTTACTTTTAAAAAATCACAAACAACAAAACGAAACCCCAACACCACGTGTTCTTCCCAGAAGTTTACTTTTTTTTTTACCATTAAAGCTGCATAAGAGTACATGAAGTAAAGGGAATGAGGAAAAAAAACAAACAACCAAAAAACAAAACAACAACAAAAAAACCCAACAGGGAGGATGTAGTCTAATGTCATAGAAGACTGCTGATGTTCAGTTTTAGTGCATTCAACTCTGTTAGATATCTCCTGTTTAACTGTTAAGTGTTATGCTATTTTTTTCCCCTCTCCCCAGCAGAAAAACGGAGAAAGTATCTTTTATCTTGCTTATCCAGACTTTCTTCAGACCTTAGTCTCTAATAAGAACTTATTGGAATCTCTAATCGGGTAAACAGGGAGATGTCTAAAACCACAAGTTTCTGCTAAAAGTGTGGGCTCATGATGGCTGGATGCTGATTGTTTGGCCTAATGGATAAATAGGGTGGTCGTTGTTTGTTTTGATTTTTGGTTGTCAGAAAGAAATATTGGACTCTTCTTTTGGTTTGCTTCTTGTTGTTGTGTTTTTTTTTTTAAATCAAATACAGGTGAGAATGGCTTTATGATAAGGTTTTGCCTTGATATGCCCGAGAAAATTAAGTTACGTAATAGATTGTGCTGTTCAGATTAATGCAACAAAAATCTGTCTTAACAGTTCTATTGTACCAGTTGTTGCCATGCGAAGTTCCACCATTTATATGCTTTCAGTGTTAAAGTCTACTTTACTTCTAATAATATTTTGGGCACTTAATAAAATTTCTGTAAATACATTTGCAGGAATGAAGTGGAAATCAACTGAATTCTCTTGTGCACCGCTGAGACGAAATGACATTCATGCCTGTGGTGAATGGAAGTCATGGCAGCATCTAACATGGGAGGGAAAGACATGAACGGACAATGTGGCGTGACTCGTTCAGATTGCAAATCTTCTGCCTGCTTATGGCAGTGCTGGCTATTGTGGTGCTGGTCCATAATTTTTTTCAGTTAGAGGTAAGTGGAGTCTGTTTCTTCTCCAAGAAGGTTTGAGTAATGTTACTCCTCTTTGAGTGTAGAGTTAGAATCGTGACTGACAACATTTAGCTACAACTGGGAATCACAGAAAATTCAGACTGGAAGGGATGTCTGGAGATATTTAATCCAACACCCCCCCTAAAGGGCTAACTTCAAGGCTAGCTTGGGTTGTGCATGGTGTTGTTGTGTTGAGTTTTGACAGTCTTGGAGGATGGCCAGGTTTCACAACCTGCCTGGGCAGCCAGTTGCCCTGCTGCACCCTGCTTGTAGGTAAGAATGTTTCTCTTATATGCAAGTGGAAGTTGCCTCTTGTTCTTTTAGTGTGTACTTCTGACTCCAGTTCCTCTGTAACTCCCCTTTGGGTAGTGAAAGACTGCAGTTAGATCCCCTCCCAGTCTTCTCCAGTCTTTTTAAAAAAAAAGGTCAGTTCCCTTAGTGTGCCCTTTCTGTCGTGTACTTCCTTTCTCCTAAGCATCTCAGAGGTTCTTAGCTGGTCTCTCCAGTTAGATTCTTAAAGTCCAGTTAGACTCGATGTTGTGACCAAAAAACAGACACAGTATTCTAGATATGGCTTCACCAAGGTCAAGTTGAGGAGAATTATCACTTTGCTCAATCAGCTGGTTATACTCTTGTTAATTCATTGTCACAACGCTATGCTGTTGACACATGGTCAGTTTGATGTCCACCGGAATCCCTAGGTCTTTGTCTGCAGAGCTGTTAGCTAGTTGTCTCCAGCCTGTATTGATGCAGCTTTTCTTTGCCTCTTCCTTTATCCCTCTGCTGTGTCTGACTTGCATATTTCTTCATTTTACTTTAAACTTTAGTGCAGAGGTGCTTTCAAACTGTATTAGTCAGTAACCCCAGACTAAAAGTGAGACAAATAAAATCGTGGGGGATCCATTCCAGGGAGCCTTGGAGGCTGACCCTGCCCACTGGCTGCCTGCCTGGCCAGACTACCCAGTGCGGCATTTGGTGAGTGAGCATAATAACACTTGGCTCAATACCTTGTTGAATTCCAGCTATCTTTTATGCACCTTAGCCAATAAGTAATTGCTTTATGCTTTTAAATTGTGTGCATCCTGCTTGCAGAGTCTTTTTTTTTCTTCATGCCTAGTGATGCCGAAATCAAACGATCCGAAAGAGGGGCTGTAAAATCCCCTCTCACCCCCTAAAAAATTGAGTTGGAAGACGTTCAGGTAAGGGCAAGGAAGATGTTTGAGAGGTCTATAACCACAAGTGGCACAGGATCAATAACTAGAGAATGAATGTTTGTTACCTATTCCAGTACTAGTGGAGACATTAAATGAAAACTGCAGATGCTGAATTCAAAGGAAGCAGGGCATGGAGGATTGTGGGGTGGAGGTGTTGTGGATTGCAGCAAAGCTGCAGGAAGTTCTTGCAGTAAGAGTGTACAGCTGCTAAAAGTCTGGATGAATTCACAGAAGAAAAATCCATTATGGGATACTAAATCTCAAAGATGTCAGCCCTGGTGTTCAATAACTCTCCAAGTCATAAAGCACTAGAAACTGGATTATATCTTCGGAAGGAAGTTTCACAACATGTTTGGCCTGTATTCTTTTCCTATGTACTTACTGGGGAAATCAAATTACTGTGTTTGGTGGACCTTTGGTTTGAGTTAGCATGGTCATTTTTGTGTAACAGAGAAAGTACATTTTCTTCTGCTGTCTCTTTCTGTGTGGTTCCTCTCCCCTCCCCCCTCCATGAAGAACAGTTTTGGTATTTGGAACCTTAGACTATTTTCTTTCTTTTCAAAATTACATTTCTTGGAAAAAAGGGCTCTGGCAGATCTTCAAGAGTGAAATAAAAAATAAAAATGCAGCATGGATGTTAACTCTGTGCTTTTTCCTGCCACTATCCAGGATAATTATCTGCCTGGTTTTGTTGACCTTTACATATCTGATATCCCAAACTCAGTTAAGTATTGTTTTGCTGGTAAATCTTTATGCTGTAACATGCATAAAGATTTATTTTCTAACTCCTTTTGTTGTCTTGATTCTTCTGCTCTGATCTTTGTTTCTGCTTTTGGCATAGCTTTCCAGGCAGTCTAGTATAGATATCTATGCTGATTCTTTTCGGTCAGAGATCAAAGCCAGAAAAAGTCTTAGAAAGCTTTCACAGAATATCTGTAACCAAATCTGTTCAGGCTCTGGAAGGAGGGCTTGTTGTTTGTTACTGTTGAAAATATGTTTGTAAATGAATCAGGCATGAATCTCATCCTCAAATCATCTAATCTAGCTGGCTAAAGCTAAAGAGCTAAGCAATTATCAGCTAGTCCCCAGCTAGCCTTCCTGCTTTTTCTCTTTAGGATTTTATACTTTTTCATGTTGGAATTTTCTCTCTTGAATTCTTAAGCTACTGTTCATACATTCTCAACAGTCCTACTTGAGTCAGAATTTTACTTTTCTTACCTTATGTTTAAAAAAAAAAAACAACAAAACAACAAACAAACCCTCAAAAAGTCAAGCTGTCCACAAAACATTTCATACTCTGCTTATTGTTTAATTTGCTTTTTAGTATGGAGTAACTCCTCCCTTTAGGTCCACAGCTGACCACTACGTTATAGTACCAGAAGAAACATATTTTTATATTTTTAATAAAATAATTTTAATTTTTTTTTGCAAACACAGACAGACAGATTAAAGGTTCAACATTTTTCCACACAGTATCAGGTTGTTGCCAAGGAGCAATATCATGCCTTTAGGATACAGGAGAGTTTGTAAATTTGTACCAATTGTCTTCGGACTGACTTCAGCATTGGTTGTGACATTTCTTATATTTAAAAACATTTAGAAAAGAGAGTGTATGGGGAGAGGTGAAGTTTCTTGCAAGGGTGAAGGTATGGTATATAGAATCAAACAGCTGAACAAAAGAACTATGTAATACTTCTTTATTTTTGCTGCTAAATTGCAAATGGCTCCAAAAGATAACTGCATCATCTTATTCAGATTATTGCTGAAACATTTATCTTACCGGATGCTGGCTTTTTAGCATTGGCTTTGACGCTTAGAGTAACTTAGCACCCACTCAGGGCTGTGATAGTAGAGACAGTGAACTGATCTCATGCCTCTTAGACATCAAATAGGGATAAAGTAACCAGAGTGTAAAATTACTGAAAATAAAATGACTGGCCCTTTCAACATTTTTCCTCAGCCACCAACATTATTGCATTTAACTGAGGACAAGTGTTCATTGTGGGTCTAACCAAATACTTTCTGACCCTTCTAGAATGTCTTTGAGAATGTGATTGCTTGGGTGGGGCTACATGTTATATCTAATTTTTGCTTAGTTGGCAGTGAGAGTACTAGAAGCTGAGTAGTTGAGCTGAAACTTTCATTAGTTCTCCTGAAAATTCAGCTTCTTGTTTTTCCTTTTTATGACATCTTTCATGCACCAGCTTGTGGATTTGTTTGTGCTTAATTGATGTGTAATCCATTCTGTCCTGCCTGCTTACTTGGCAGACATCCACTAAATTACACATTTGGGTTCTGGTTAACTTCAAAATGCAGCAAATAAAAAATAATAATAAAAAAAGCCTAAACCAAAAAACACCCCTAAAAAAAAAAAGCCTAAGCAAGCAAAAATACCACTTGGGAATTGCATTCAAAATCAAGATACCTTGAATGGAGTATATGTGCAAATGAGCAAAGCAGGGCAGGTGTTATTCAATGTAGAGATTGTATTAAAAATGAAAAGAATCTGTGTCATAAGATAAAGGAAGAGGACTCTTGAGAAATGTTCTTTCTCTGTCCTACTTAAATTTTATTTTATTTTGGCTGCTAACTAGAGTAGAGAGCCCACAGTTCTGCACAGGCTCAGTATTGACTTCTTAACATCCAGGAGCCAGAGAGATTTGGAAATGCCAGTGGAAGGGAAGGTAGGGAATGGAGTTGGGGACACACTAAGCTATTAATCTGCCTCGGTGCAAGCCATGCGTATCCATAGGGATATGAGACCTTGAATATTTGTTTGGAGATGAGCCTTAAGAAAGGAAGATGGTTTGGAAAGCTTTTCAGTTCCAGTCAAGGATCTTCAGTGTACTAATTGATTCTGAAGCTTTCGGAAAATGGAATCTCTAATATTTTCTCCTGTGAATATCACAAATGGTGTAGTTTACTTTTACACGTAAGCTTATAATTAATGCAATAATACAGGATCGTGTTTGGTCTTGAAAGAGGGCTGCAAAGATGAAGAAGGGTGTTACAGAAAGAATGGTCCTTCAGGATGTTGAAGTAGCTTTGGCTTTACCTTCATAGGGATTTTTTTTTTCCCCTTGAAGACTGAATGAGGAAATATTTGTGGTGTGATCTATTCTGCTGGTTCATAACCTAGAGATGCTCAAGTTGAAGTGACAGTGTTTGTCCAGGACCTCAGCTGCATGCGAGTGAAGAGCTTTGGCCTTGTGCTTTGCTAAAAAGGCTGTGTAGGTGGACTGCTTTAGAGACATCAAACTATGTTCTCTGCTCTGTTTTCTGAGTGTATGAGTTTGTTGGCTTGGTGTTCTCTGCACCCTTTTCATAGAATCATAGAATCATTCAGGTTGGAAGAGACCCTTGGGATCATCGAGTCCCACCATCTACCCTACTCTACAAAGTCCTCCCCTACACCCTATCCCTCAGTACCGCATCTAAACGTCCCTTAAACACAGCCAGGGATGGTGACTCAACCACCTCCCTGGGCAGCCTGTTCCAATGCCTGACCACTCTTTCTGTGAAAAATTCCTTCCTAATGTTCAGTCTAAACCTCCCCTGTTGGAGCTTGAAGCCATTCCCTCTTGTTCTGTCATTAATTACCTGTGAGAAGAGACCAGCACCAACCTCTCTACAGTGTCCTTTCAAGTAGTTGTAGAGAGTGATGAGGTCTCCCCTCAGCCTCCTCTTCCTCATACTAAACAGTCCCAGCTCCTTCAGCTGCTCCTCATATGATTTGTCTTCCAGGCCCTTCACTAGTTTCATTGCCCTCCGTTTCCACTGGAAGATGCAGGAAAGAGTTCAGAAAGGCTAGCTAGGCTAGCCATAAATGACATGTTCAGCATCTCTGATAGAAAGACCGAGTTAAAAACCCTAAAGAAATTTATAGAAAGTTAAAAGTAATCATAGTTCTGTTTCTAAGGCTTTCTTAGATAGCCGCCTCTCTTCTTCATTTGAAAGGATTTTTTTCCCCTGTGCACCCGCCACCCCCTTTGAAGTACCAACCATTGAAGAACCAACTGAAATATAGAAACTTTCTCTTGAGAGCTTACACTGAACATAAGAATTACTCAAACACGCATATTCTTCCTCTCCGCTGCTTCTTAGGTAAATGCTTATATATTTCTGCTGACTGAGACATGTTTACCAGCTTGTTGGATGCATCAATATATATAAGTAACTTTAAAAAATATTTCCATGCAGTATTTTCTGTGGTTATGTATACGCATGAGCAAGTGAAAGGAAGTTGTGAAGGTATCCAAGAATAGAAACTTCAAGAATGCATGTATGCAAGATTTAAGGTAGAACTGTAACTGAGATTCATTCTCAGTTTTGCCTGAAATTTACTAGATTAATAAAAGTAATGTGCAGTGATACGTTTGTATTTTTGCCAGCTGTGACAGAAAATTGAGAAGAATTATGAATTACCTCTGATGGCCTTCGGGGAAGATTTGTTAAATCCTGGGTGGAAATGTAAAGCAGAAGCAAAAGCTTCTGTTGTGATAATAACGTTTTGTGTATCTGTGGGTACCTGTCAATTTTACATTTTATAGTTAAAATGTAACAATTCAGAGTTTCAGAATTTATGGTTAACATGGATATCAAACAGAGAAGATTTCGTGTATTCATCCTACATCCTAGTGTGCTCGTTATCCTCTTACTCTTAAGCAGATCAAAACCAACTTCTTATGTAACGGGCTTCAAAAGCTTGTGCGTTTCTATTGCTTGTTAGGTTTACTTTTCTTCTAAAAAGTATGTTGAATTTCTGTGTTGTTCAAATGACTTTAATATAGTGGCAAATTCAAATAAAATGTAGCAGGGAGGAAACTATTTAGTATGTACATGTATTCCAGGTGATATTTCAACAGACTAAGAGAGGTTTATAATAATAAGTAAGGCTCTTATTATGATAATAATGTAAGTGCTGGGAATTTTAGTACATTACTGAGCAGTTAATTATGGAGGAAATAAATGGAAAACACTAGGATACTGGTAAGTACAATGATCTTAAAAAAAAAATCAAATAGCGTAGTTTTAATTTTTTAGCAATCTTTCAAATCTAAACTATCTCATTCTCTGATGACATGTGAATGGTACGTTGTTTAATTTAAATCTTGGAAAAATTATTTGATGTATTTTGCTTCTCTATGAAATATGAACATGGATAAGTTCTACCACATAGAAGATATGTACCTGATAATGAAGTACTCCTTAACTGCTGATTTTGTGCATATTTGAGGTGTAAGCTTGGATTTGCTGAATAGAAATCTCAGGAGGTAGCTCTGGAGTCTTATACTGTGCTATTTTTTAAATTTCCCTAATGCAAACCTGCAGTCATTTGCATAAAAATACGGTTTTGGACACTGATCTCAAGTCACAGCAGAAACCCTGTCTCATAGTCCAGCATATTTAACTATTTTAATTTTTAAACTCTCATGTGGATAAGGGGATGCTCTGGTTGTGTTTTATTTCGCTTTAGAAGAAGCTATATATAGATATATTTTTTTTTATTTTTAAGATTTTAAATTCTTTTTTTCTGTTTAGTCCTAGCTTGTCCTAGACTATTTTACTTGCCCACCGGTTCATTAATTCTTTGCCCCTGAAGCATTCATTTCTTTTCTTCCATTTCTTTTAATCTGTATGTTACAGGGAAACCCATATTTCAGATAATTAGTTGATAAGCAATGTGAGTGTGACCAGATCAATGACCACAGCTGCTACGTCCAGCAGACTTCTCTAGAAGCCATGTGCAGGGGGTGCATCAGCTTCATCTGCAGTTTAACATCTGAAAGAAACCCTATTTCCTTGCATTATATCAGGCAGCTATTAAACCTCATTGTGCTTGAAGATTAAAATGTTACTACAGTAAGAAAATAAAACATGAGTTGCAATTTACTATTTAATCATCCAACCTTTTGTAATTTTTTTCACATTGCTGATATTTACAGAATACTCTGGTAGCCAAAATACTGCCACAGAAAATATTTGGCCTGATTTATATAAAAGCCTCTTTGCCATAGCAGGGTAACCACAGGTTGCCCACCTGTTTCTTTAGAAAGCCCACAGCAAAAGTAATCTTCTTGTGTCTTCTAGTAAGGTTGCTTCATTTGGTCAGCTTCAAGGCTCTCATAAAGCAAAGCCCAGTTCTTAGGCTCATTTCCTGTTAAACATCTGTTATTCGTAGCGTTTCATTTAATAGCAGTTTCAGGTAATCTTTTTCCTCCCCAGCACCTGGACGACGACACAGTTTCAGGATCGAATTGGATAACAGAAAACAATGTCCAGCATTCACAGACAACCAAAACTACCCGGAAGCCTTACTGTGGTTATAAGCAACAGACGTTGTCCAAAAGAGAACAGGCGGAGCAGGAGTCGTTGCTTGCTGCAATACAGTGGCCAAAACCCCCCAGTGGCAAACTTGCCTTTCTACAAAGCACTGATCCTGCTCACAGTGACTTCGTGATTGTGAAACCCAGCGGGTTCTTCAAGGTGGGTGATCAGTTAGAGGTGCTGGTTCGTATGAAGGATTTCCAAGGAAAACCCAAGCAGTATGGTGGAGACTATCTACAGGCACGAATTCACTCTCCTCTGCTGAAAGCTGGAGCAACAGGAAGGGTTGTTGATTGCCATAATGGCCTTTACAAAGTCTTCTTTACCTTGCTTTGGCCAGGAGAGGTCAAAGTTTCTGTGTCACTTGTCCATCCGAGTGAAGCAATCCAAGTCCTCCTGCGTTTACGAGAAGAGAGGCCAGACAGGGTCTATTTCAAAAGCTCATTCAAGTCTGGGAGGTATTCGGAAACCACCGAGTGCAATGTTTGCTTGCCTGGAGATCTCCCAGTCTGTAACTTCACAGATCTCTACACAGGTGAGCCATGGTTCTGCTACAAACCTCGAAAACTGTCTTGTGCCAGCCGGATCAGCCATGCCAAGGGTGGATACCAAAAAGGTCTTCTGACGCAAGAGGAAAGCCTCTTTTTCCAAAGGTGTGTATATACTCAGTCAAGTAATTTCCTTTTTTTAAATACAGACTTCAGGTTATTGGTGAAATATGACAAATTGTCTTAGAGGACTGTGTACCTGCAGGAGCAGGTGTTTGATGTGAATTGTTGAATATTTTCTTCCTGGGCAAGAGCACAGTAACCTTAAACTAAAGAAACTTGGAGTGTTGTTCTCTCTATATGCATTGAATAAAACCCTGGTGCACCTGCTAAATATCAGAAGAGCATGCTGCCTAAATCTGGTGGTGGTTTGGGGGGCTGTTTCCTTATTTTTTGTTTCCACACCTATGCTTGCAATACCAATAACATACTCTTTGATATAAAATCATAAATGCTTTGAGATATATTTGTGGCCAAGTCTGAACTACCTAAAAATGTCAAGGTTTTGGGCTTATTTTTACATAAAATACCAATTGCTTTGATCATGAGCAAGAGTCATCTTACATGTAGTGTCATGTGTTCCTTGTTGGTCAGTAGGACTTTCAAATCTTAGGAATAATTTTATGTCATGCATTAAGAAAACACCTGGTACAACAAACTGCTGAGTGATACCCGTGCAGGTAGAAATGATCTGTGCATGTTTTATAAAGTGTCAAGCTAAATTAGTTTCACAGTCATCATCTTTAAAATGCATTTAAAATGCATCTTTAAAACTGCATTCAGCATTTTAAAACGATACATCTCTTAGTGCATGGGTAGATATGATAGGACTGCTTCTGTATATACCCTCAGCTGAAATCAGACAAAGATAGCTACTGTGTAGTGCCAGAATTGTTGTAGGCTACTGCTTTGCTCTCCAAAAAAGGTGTTGAAGAAAAATGATTCAGCAATGTGTCCATGTGAGTCTTAAATGGGGAAAGATTTTAGAGTAGCATTTCCAAATAGTTTAATTAGGAAATTGTTTGTGCATGTCTGTACCTTAAGACCAGAAATCAAAACTATCAGTGGAACTGCGATTTGGCTATTCCTTATCAGGTTTGTAAGTGGGTCTTTTGACTTTCTGTGCCTCAGGCAGTTAATCTATAAATTATGGCTGACGCTAATTGGTGATGCTTCCAAATGGGAGTGGGAATTTTTTTTTTCTAGTTTTGGTTTGTTTCCTTCAGCTCAGAAATCCTTGACTGAAATGGTTTATTGAAATTGCAAATAATTTATTCCTTAAATAGAGAATAACATTAGACAGGTATTCTTTTTAAAAACAGCAGCAAAAGGCAGCACAAGAGCCTAGAATGAAATTTCTGCATCTGTCACAGCTGTACAATAGTGATATGTGTCCAACACAAAATGATCAAAGTTCATTGATATCCACAAACAAATATAGGTGAGCACCTATAGAGAGCTGGCAGAGCTGGGAGCTGCTGCTGCAGTGTACCCTTTCAGTGCTTTGTCCTATATGCTTATTTTAAGTGGATTAAGAAATAATGAGATTAGTATTACCTGAAAAGTTTACAGCCTTGCTATATTATTGCTATTAATTTCTATTCAAGTGATGTGAACATCAAAAGGCCGATATTCTCCAGTGGACCCGATTCAGTGATTGTAAAGCCCAAGGCATTTACAGGTAAAACAAACTTTATAAGATTTCATAATTAAATTTATAAAAAGAACAACATGCATGAGGTAGTAATTGATTTGTTTGCTTTCATAGCATGGAATATAAATTAACTTTTGTATTGAGAAAATGAAGGCTTTTGGGTGTTACTGTAATATAACTTAAGTACTAATAACAAAATTGCCTAAAATTCTATACATAAATGGGATTTTTAGCAAAAAACAAGTTAAAACAAAAGGTTTGTTCTAGTGCCAAAAGTGTTGTGTTTTTTCTTTTCTAGCATTTACTTGGAGATGTAAAATGTCTTACATTATCTGCTCATCAAACTCAAGTTAATCTAGCAAAACCAGCTGTGTCGTGTTTCTTAACATTTTCTTTGTTAAGAATTTTGTCTAACAGATTTTGACAATTTGCATTTAGGTATTACTATCATTTGTATTGCCACAGGATGTCAGAGCCTGCAATTGTGAACCAGAAACTAATTGTTCTGTACCCTGTCTAAAAACAGAACAAAGAGAGTCGCTACTCACTTAACTTTGAGGTTTTATCTCATTCATTTCCATGTGCACACTTTTTATGCCTCTGAAAATCCTGCATAAAATACCATACATAGAGAATTACTTCTTAATTGAAAGCTTTTCAGGCGTTTTTTCTATAAGGTTGTAGGAGACTTTAAAGGCAGAGTTCCTGCCCTGAGCAATAAAGTCTTAACAGAAAACAGCCTACAGCATTTTTTTGCTTTTAGTTTTGCTGTTTTTTTTAAAAAATAGAGTGCTGCTATAAGGCTAGCAGTGCTTTCCCAGTTTTTCTAGATCCTTTAGATGACATGTTTTTCATTGCTTTTTTTTTTAATCTTATCTATTTCCTCACAGAAAGTGTTGCAAATTTGAAATTCAATTTTATCACCCTTTTTTCCGGAGTTGCAAATGGTCAAAGCCTGCCTGCATTTCCTGAGGATTGATGATGGGTTGCAAAGGGTTGATAGGAGTAGCACAGTATTCCTCAGGGAAATTCCTTTTAAGAAGGACAGTCTCTGAATAAGAAAACTTAATACATTGGTATAATGATGGTGGATGTATAGATTTGTTAGGATTTATGGCACACTTAAGTTCATTGTTCTGCTGGGTTTTTTTGCAATACCTTTCTGTTTAGGGCTAAATGTAGGTTAAGTTGATTTTTTAAAAACCTTTATTTTTCTGAAATATGAGCTTTTACTTCTATTCTTAGTTTGTAACTATTCAGATTGGACCTTTTACTCTCTTCTGTGAAATCCAAAAGTAATGGCTTTCTAAATTCTGGAGCAAAACCTAGTCAGATACTATGCACAGATTTGAAATGTTGGTATTAGGTTTAGTTCTAATAGCATTTATATATATATATGCATAGTCCAAGAATCAGTTTGAAGGGTTTTGTTGGAAAATGGAAATGTTTTTACATCAAAACTTAAGAAACAAACTGAAGTTGTGAATTCACATTATGAGTTAGTCTTTAATTACATGACCATATGAAGCATTTTTTCCTTTTCTTTGTAGGATTCCTGTTTCATACATATTGGTTGAGTCAACATTAGTTGTTGGTTTTTTTTTTCTATTCCTTTATTGATCCTGTTGCCTGATTTAAGGAGTCATCCAAAGATGAAACTGTAAATGCCTTTTTCTGTGGTACTTGTGATTACAGTCTTCATGTTATAGAAACATAATAGTAGTTTGCTTTTTACAGTGTCCCTGTGAGGTCTCAGGAGGTTAACAGCTACCAGTGCAAACCACAGAGATCATTGCATAGAAACAATGAGACCAGAAATGCCTATTAGAGATGGGGGTTCAAAGATGCTTATGGCCTGATACGGGGTTGGTTTTTTTTTGAGTGTTTAGGGTTTTGCTACACCTGTGTTATAATGAAGCATCTCCCAGAGCATCCTTCTGGGCACTGGAATTCCACTGCTCATACTTTTGCATAGTTAGGGTGGTCCCTGGCAAGATTTTGGCCATGGCAATGTGTGCTTTCCCAAACAGCTGTGAGTTAGGGACTGTTTTTAACAAGTAGTCTCCATGCCAAGGTGGGTAAAAGTGTTTAAACAGCTGGTGTTTGTGCCAGAGAACAACTTAGTGTTTCTTCAGTTTTGTAGGTATTTGAGCACACATGTGGTAAAGGAGAAACTTGTAACCACCTCACAGGAGCTCGATGTACTGTTATCACACTAGACACTAAGAACAACATGTCAATGTTTGACTGACACAACCATGAGACTGCACCTTCTCTTCCTCTAATCTCTGGCCCTTGCTTGCAGTGTAACGTCCCACTGCAGCAAGTTGAGCAGGTGTCCTGCAGAACAGAGCTTCCCTGGGGTGGTCTCACTGCTCCTCAGAGGGGACCTATCCCAGGCAGTAAAAGGGAGGGGGATAGACAGCAGAGAGCAGGGATGAAATCCATGGAGTTAGAGGTTCTCCTAACTCATACATTCAAAGGGCACGTATCGAGTTCTTGGTCGTAGCTTTAATTCTGGCGTTTCCTCGTTTTGGAGTGACGCTTCAGAATTTACTCTTCTAGCATATGTGGTTGGAGCTGGTTGTGTGTGTGTTACTCTATAGACGGATATTTTTTTATTTTTTGAGTGGTATCAGGTTGTCACCGGGGGGGGGGTCGGTGTGCTGCGCTGCAGGGGCAGAGGCTGCGGAGGAGGATGAGGAGGAGGAAGCGCCCCTGCCCGGCTGCGCCCGGCCGCTAGAGGGCAGCAGCGCGCTTCGGCACGGGGCGGGGGGTGCAGGTGATGGGGACTGGGGAGTCCTGGGGCTGGCCCGGGCTGGGGGAGGAAGGTGCTCTGCTCATCTTTCTGCCTGGGCTCCTCTATACATTTTGCAAGCATCCGTGATTGAACATTTCTAAGTGTGAAGGATTTAGAAGGCTCCAGGGAGACCTTATAGCAGCCTTTCAGTACCTAAAGGGGGCCTACTGGAGAGATGGGGAGGAACTCTATATCAGGGAGTGTAGCTATAGCAGGAGGGATGATAGTTTTAAACTGGAAGAGGGGAGATTTAGATTAGGTTTAGGAAGAAATTATTTGCTGTGAAGGTGGTGAGACACTGGAACAGGTTGTCTAGAGAAGTTGTGGATGCCCCATCCCTGGAGGTGTTCAAGACCAGGTTGGATGGGGCTTTGAGCAACCTGGTCTGGTGGGAGGTGTCCCTGTCCATGGCAGGGGGGTTGGAACTGGATGGTCTTTAAGGTCCCTTCCAACCCAAACCATCCTATGATTCTATGTCAGATACTTACTATATTTTACTTTCTCATCAGAGATACCATTTAAACCAAAATAAACTATAATTGCTCTACCAACTCTGTCAGTAGTTGCAGGTTTTGCTGCAGAAATAGGTGGTGAAATACTTGGGTTTACTGAAGTATGACGTATCAAGATTTTTAATCTATGCAGTACATCATAGTCTTTTGCTTTAAGATAGGGAAGATGTTCACACATCACGGGCTATATGTCCATGAAGTTTATGGAGGCTGGGTTTTATGCATGTTAATTTCAAAGAATTATTCTCTTCCAGATTCAAGCAGTATGGACAGAGCTGAAGATCACACCATTTTCCCTTCTGGTTATTATTATGAAGATGAGTGGAGGTCCAGAACACACTGGATCCATCGTTTTAACAAGTCAGATGATATAACCAATTGCTTGCAAGGAAAAGTAATCCACTTGTTTGGAGACTCTACAATAAGGCAGTGGTTTGAATATCTGACAGCATTTGTTCCAGGTTATTTTTTTTTTTAATCTGGTTTTGTGCTTAGAGATGTTTGCAAAGCTTTATTTCTCACATCTCAGACACAGAGTTAATCTTACTGAACAACAATGAGAAAACAAAGGAAGAGGAAAACCAAATCATAATCCGAAGTGCTGGCAGAAAGGCAGTTAGTCAAATGTTTGAGCAGATACTGGAAACGTGTAGGCCTTGGAAATGGGGCCATGAGGTATCTGCAAAGTTGCACTTGTAAGAAGTTTCACCAATGCAGACCGTTGCTGTGGCTGTGAGTTAAGGTGGCCACCCAGGGAGCATGGCAGAAGTCACCTAGGGTGCCTGCTAAGGCCTTGCAGCAACGCAGTAACAAATTTTGGAATGAAGTAGCAAATGACTTCTGTTACTGTTGATTGGTTTTGGACACTTTCTTGTATTTCCCTTATTTTAGCTTAAATAACAGAATTTCAGTAGCCAATTAGATATTCCTCCCTTACCCCTAAAATAGGTAAATTGTGTGGAACACAGTCTTTGAGACTCTTTAATGCCTACAAGTTTAAGTTAGCTTTAAATTTAATGGAGTCCTAAAGTTGCCAGAAGGATTCCCAGGGCGACCCTGACTGAAGGAGTCTATTTGGAAAATTTCTTTTTTATGATAAAGAAGAAAAGAAAAGGCACCGACAGCCGTGTGAAGTTCAAGTTTGCTGTCTTGCAAATTTCAACACCCATAAACTCCACTCTGAAATAGGTAGCTAGCACATGTATGATACTCATCTTCTGTTTCATTTTGGAGTTGTTTGTTCAGATTTCCTTGTCTACTGCCACTTTTGCCCTGTGGTCCTAGCATCTTCTTGATAGCTTTAATCTCTTATGCCGTCTTCCACTAATGCCTTTCTCTTGGGTTTTCAGATCTAGTGGAGTTTAACCTGGGGAGTCCGAAGAATGTGGGCCCTTTTATGTCTGTAGACCTGAAGCACAATATCCTACTGAAGTTCCGCTGTCATGGGCCACCCATTCGCTTTTCAACAGTTTTTAGCAGCGAACTGCGCTACATCGCCAACGAGCTGAATGGCATAGTGGGGGGGAGAAACACGGTGATAGCCATAACTATATGGTCCCACTTCAGCACTTTCCCCGTGGAAGTGTATATCCGGCGGCTGAGGAACATACGGAGATCAATTATTCAGCTGCTGGATCGCAGCCCCAAGACTTTAATCGTCATCAGGACTGCTAACGTTCAGGAGCTTGGGCCAGAAGTGAGCCTCTTTAACAGTGACTGGTATTCCTTTCAGCTTGATTCTGTCATGAGGAAAATGTTCTCAGGAATTGCTGTGCACTTTGTGGATGCTTGGGAGATGTCTCTGGCTCATTACTTGCCACATAACTTGCATCCAGAAGAAGTCATTGTTAGGAATCAAATAGATGCGTTTTTATCTTACGTGTGCCCTCTGCAAATTTAGCACAAGTGGGTATCCCTGTGTCATCTTTTGCTGTAGCTGAAGTAAAGTTGCTCTTTGTTGGAGCTACCGAATTACGCTGGATGGTATGGAAGAACTCTGGTTATTGTACCTGCATGCAGTAAAAGAGGGGTGGCCTTAACTCTGGGTAGCTATGATGGGACAAGATGACTGTTCAGGCCATATCTTCATGTGAGGTTGATTTCTTTCAACCTTATCACACATACCTGAGATTATTAGTGAGCACCTTAAATTAAATTAACAGGATTCAATAAGAAATTGCGTGGGTTATTAGCTTTACTAGTTGTCTACACTGTATGCTTGATTTAGTCCATATGATACTGATTCTGTTGCCAGGGTCTTGCTGCTCGGAACTGTCTGTGAAACCTGGGAAAGATTTTGGGAGCAGTCTTTCAACATTCCAGAGTTTGAGGGACATCCCCTCTAGTTGTATGTCAGGGAAGCAAAGTGTCTGTTCTTGTTTCAAAGTTCTAATTAGAAACATGAAGGGGGTGTACCAAAATCACTAATATCAATCGAAAAAGCACAACCAGAATATCTATAGTATTAATTCATTAAGAATTGGCTGAAATTGAATAGACCACACTAGTTAGGCAACTTTGATGTTTACAGATAGCTGCTAAATAATGCAAATAGACATTTTAGCTTGGTTTCCTGTACTACTGAATTTCTTCTGAGCTTTGATGCACTGTCTACTTCTTGATTTATCTGTAATGGAGAAATGTGTATATTATGACCTCGGTGAAGACACTGTCTTGGGCAGTTTCTGCAAGTTTGAATTGCAGGCTTTGCCTACTTGAAGCTTGAAATATTTCCTGGTGAAAGCGTTTCCCTTCCTGTAAGATAAAGCTATTCCATTATGCTCTTGCCAAGCTGGGCTTCTGAAACTTGCTCGTGTACATCCTTCATACGTAGTGTCTGCATGGAGAGGCCAGGTGACCTGAATGCACTTGAGGATGTTTGGCAATGGGTAACAGTAACTGGTGCGCACTGGTGTCAAGGCCGTGCAATGATCCCCCTTCTATGTCTGGCAGTTTTATCGCTTATGAGCTTCATTGCTGCCAGTATAAAAGGTCAAAAAAATTGTGCTCAAAAGCCAAACACACACAGGGTTGCCCTTCGTACAGATTCTTGGTAAATATTTGCAGTTTTGCTGGTGTGAAAGCTGGTGGCTCTTGGGCCTCTTGGTGTGGTGTTTTCTGCTGTTAATTTCATCGAGCCTGCCTAGTTTTAACTTTGAAAACAAAGTTTTGATTAAATTCAGCCCCCAAATTAAACAGCAGAGAAGTGTTAAACGTTGTCTTATTTCTGATCCCACTCAGTCCAAAGGTAGTCTTTACTGAGAAATGTGTCAAAACAGCAGTGGAGGGCTTCTGAAGTGGCTTGACATGCTTAAGAGGGATATAGAAGTTGAGTCTTTGTGAGCACGCTGAGAAGATAAAAATTAATAAGGCAAATTGGTAGGTCGTACAGAGTGGAACAATTGAAATGTCGTACTTTTAGAAATGTTTTACTGTTCGCCAGGTTTGCTGCTGTATTAGGAAGATTGTGCAGTTATTGCTGGCACCCTAAGAGGGCTAATGCTACCAGCTACAGAACAGTGTTTTTTGTTTCGTTCATTTTAAAGGACAACTGAGAACTGTTTTAAAAACAAATGTAAATGCTTTTAGCATGTAAAAGTCATCAGTAGCATCCATCTATAAACTTACCAATTTTAAAATGTTTAAAAATGACTGGAGGAGTCGCATATGCTGAAATAGCATTTATTCAAATCTGAATTAAGGAGGCCCAATTTGCCAGTTCCTACTGACAACTGCCTCACGTAGTATCTGTCCATATATTAGCTTTAGGTAACTATTTCTTCCTTTAATAAGTTCATGGAAATTTATCCTCTGCTAAAAAGAGACCACACCAATCCAGGTCTGGGAAGGCAAACCACCACAATACAAACTGACCTTTCATCTTTTCCAGGTGTGTTTTTGAAAATAGGTAGAGCATAAGGCTTTCATCCTGAATAACAAATCTATCCAAATAATGTTAATGAAAATAAGACTTCAAACTTTTACTTTGAAGGAAACTACTTAATTTGTGGACTAACTGTTTGGTTTTCCTCCTAAAGCCATATTGCATGTGAAAGCGTGGTGACAGCATGTTTCTTCTCTGAATGTTGGGGTGCTCACCACTGCTCTTCAACAGCAACTTTTTATTGCTGTTAGCTAGCAAGAACAGATAGAGAGAAACATGTTTTTTTGAATGTCTTGACGATTGAAGAAAAGAGAACAGGACTTATATTAGCAAAGATATCTAATCACTTTCTAGTAGAACCTCTCCCTTTTAGATTAATTAGATTCATTTTTTTTAAATATCAGATTAACTTTTAGGTAATGAACTTGAGGGAAATTGCCAGTTGATTTGGAATGAGAACTACTATTTCATTTCTTTGGTTTCTGGAATAGACAGAGGAGAAGGGGAGAGGCTGAGGACTTAATTTTGTTTTAAGATGAAGACTGGGGACACTATGCTTTCATATGTCATTCAGTTGAACTAGAAATGATTTTTCATTTCCATTCTTGGCTTGTTACCACTTGCACTAGTTGTGTATGTACTGTATATGGAAACATAGAAGCAATAAAATATTTTTAAATCTGTTTGTTTAAACCTTTAAGCTTCTAAATGGATTTTAATAGGGACTTAGGTTAAGAGGTTAACAGGACTGGAAAGGAATTTCTCAGTTGTCAGTTATGTATCTTCCTTTACATTTAAAAATTTATTTAACGAGATTTTTCAGAGCCCTGTCTTCCTTTTCTTTCCATTTTCTTCACTTGAAGTGAAGAGATTGTATTACTCTTTTCATTCTTGTCCCGAGCCTTTTGATTACTAACCTTTAATACAGAGATTTATTTTTTTCATTTTTAATTTCTTTATTATATTCAAAATCTATCTCACTCAATCCCAGCGAAAAAGACTATTTTTTTGGTGTTTACAAGAAGATTTCAGAGCAATTTTGTTTATAAAAAAGTAAACTCCCTTTTACAGATTAGATTGATACACAGTGATTTTCTGCACCTGATATTTTGAGAATCTTGTTTCTCATATATATTGTGCTAGGCTGATTTCTATGTTCTAGAAATTTAGTAAAAACATTAGTTGAATTGCTGATGAAAAGAGGATAAAAAGCCAAAGTTGCCATTTTTTCAAGTTTTCAATTGCTTCTGATTTCATCTGCTTTGCAGCACTATTGCAGCTCTGCTTTACGAGATTCAAAGTATTGTTTTTCATTGTTTTACTTGTTAGAGGTAAGCTTTTAAAAATGGGAACTTTTCTTACCAGAAGGTTCTGTATGACGTTTTATGTGCTACAGGTGACAATTCCATGTATATGAGACAAACCCGAAGATTTGAAATTGTCTCCTGGGAAGGGTGAGGGTATTTGGCTTTTGCTTTGCTTTTATTGCAGAAGCGTGGCTTCAAACATTGTTCCACACGTAACGGTTTTAAGTAACAGCAAAAAAACTTCAAATGTGTATTTAGTTTATAATACACTTGTTAAGCCCAGATCACTCCATGCTTAGTTTCTACTCATATATACTTAGACTGTTTGGAAGGCTCTTGTTGCCTGCTGGTAGCAGCAAAGGACTGTATATCTGTGTGTTAGATAACAAACCGTTTGAAAACAAGTTTTTTATTTTTTTTTATTATATGCATATTACTGAAATGTTTACGATACAAAGAAGGCTCTAATGTCTTTTTTTTTGCTGATGTGATCAGAAAAACAATTTAAATAGCCAAAATGCTCAAAGAATAAACAGTTCCTAATAAAGAGGGCAAGTTTACTTAACTGTTTCGTCTGATTTAGTCTTGGTTTATCTTGTTTGCTGCAACCCCACATACTTCATATTTTTATAGTTGCGTACTAGTTCCCTTAGTTTTACCTATTACGTTTTTGTGCTGCTTGTTGGGTAAAAGTTTCATGCTATGGTTTATAGATTAAAATCACTTCAGTGAGTGATTATTTTTTTCCCCAATGATGTGTATTTAGGGGGGAGTGATCTCTGCAAGCAGCAGTGTGACTGTTTCCCGTTGTTGGTGTATCAGGCCTGACACACAATAAAAGCTTGTAGGTAATCTAGGCTTCCTTCTTCGAGGGCTCTTGTGACCCAGCTGGCCAACGGGAAACCCTTAAGCCACTTCATTTGAAAATGCAGTGTGAAGAAGAGAGGAGATGCGGTGTGGTCATTGCTTCTCTAGCTTGTGAACAGTTTTTTACTTTAGGTAATGGAAGAAAAATCAAGGCGAGATCTGTCCCAGAAGTCAGTCAGTGTGTGTGGGGGCCGTAGGGCATCCTACGCCGTGCCAGGCTGCGTGCCTGCTGCCACACGGGCACAAGATCCGTGTTTGCAGGGTCACTGGGAGAGGGAGAGGGTGAGGGTGGCTGCAGGGGACAGACCAAGGAGCCTCCGGGCTGGCTGGAGGGCCAGGGTGGAGGAATTGGGGAACGGCTACAGGGTTGCCTTGGGGTTACGTTGCAGCCAGGATTCACAGCTGGGAAAGGAGTAAGCAGGGTGCATTGCCCTGTGTGCTGATTTCCTATGTATGTAGTCAAAAATATCTGTTTGGCTGAGAAAAATCCCTGAACTACAAATTCCTGGAAACTAGAAGAGTGTAAGCTGCAGAAGTATTGCTTAGCGTTTGCTCCGTTTTCTGTTCCCCCTCTGATTTGGATGGAGATGGGTGGGCAGGGGTAGGGGGCAACGGCCGGTGGTGTGATCTAGGGTGCTGATCCTCCAAAATGAAGAGCTGAGTTCCCATCCCAGCCTCCTCTCTTCCATGCCACCGGACAGCCAGGGGGTGACAGGGCAAAGGCAGAATACCTATTCCCAGCATTTTGCTCTGGGAACTGAAAGTGCCGGCACTGCCGTCATGTCCCACGGATGTCAGCCTTCACTTAACCAGGAATGGAGAAGAGAGGCTGCAAAGCTGCATTTCAGTGGGGTGTGAGACCACCGGGCCCCTGGCGTGCCCAGAGGGGAAATAGGAGTGAGGGGTAGGAAAGAGAGGGGAAATAAAAAGGATAGGATGGAGTCAAAGGAAGAACACTCTTCAAGGTGACTTGCTCTGTGACACCAGGGGGAGGAAGGAAGTTGGGGATGTAGTCATGTGGAGGTTTCCAAAGGCAATATCAATTGTGTGGGACAGAAGCACTCTGATACAGAATGCTGAAATAGACATACATGTGTTTCCCCAAGCGTGTCAAAAAAAAGGAACAGTTCTTCCCACCCGGGCTACTCCCACCCACCTCTTCCTCTATTGACAGCCATGTCATAGCAATCAGATGTTGGGTACTGTTCCAAACTTTCTGCTTACGGTTGGTTTGAAGCCACGTATGTTGGGTTTTCACATATTTGTAGACGTGACATATTGTAAGCGGAGAATTTTTTAAAAGAAATCCAAAGCATTTATAACCAGAATAAGGAGGAGCGCGTAGGCATCATTATGTCATGTGCTCTTCAGAGGCTGTGGTGACTCAGAGGAGGCGTGTAAGTTGCCTGAGATGGCATATTGTGCTTGTCAGGGAAGGGGCTTGAGCCTCCCAAGGCTAGACAGAGGCTCACTGGGGCTGGCAAAGAGCCAAGGCCACCTTCTGATCTGGTTAGAATGGGGTGCATCCCATCGTTTCGTGCTGCATCCCTAATTAGCAAGGTATTGCGTAACTTCTAACATTGGCTGCCTCACAATACAGGACCAATGTATTTGAAATCGAGGAAACCGTTTTATTATCTCCCTGAATCTGGATCTTTGAGTCTTTTTTGAAATGTAAATTCATGGTGGTGCTTGTCCCCCAGATCTGGGCTCTCACATAAGGCAACCCAGCTTGTTTTTGGGCAGTGATCCCTAAAATCCTGTCCAAATTACTGTGTCCTCCTTCACCGTTGCTGTTACGAGCCTCTTGTGGGCGTATTCAATAGCCTTTTGGGGTGAAATAAGCTTATCTGCTCTCTGAGTCTGTCAGGGTGAATTGCAAAGGAACTTCTCTGCCTGGAATAGGAGAGAGGGATTTGTGGGAGGACACCAGAGAATGAACTGTGTGAGTTATTTAGTGTGAGCCTCAGAGGCAGAGTGAGCACACCACTTAAACCCAGGTGAAAGTACAGCATGACCTCCCCCGCATCCTCACTGTGTCAGCTGGCATGGTCTTAATAGATTAGTGAATCCTTAATGAATGCGGCCAGAAGAGGGCTTTGAGGCAGTGAAAAAGAGCCTGGCATGACTCAAATGAATAACATAAGCCGCAATGTAATAGTCTTGGTGGTGGTTTGTTTGCTGACTCCTGGGTAGTTGCATTTTGAAAACAAATGGCACAAACTCCACTGGATTAAGCTCTTATACTTGGAGTTAATTTTAGAATGAAATTCAGTTGATGACGAAGACATTGATAATTCTTAGGTAGGCTTAGGACTCTCCTTCATAGGATGTTTTTTTTTCTCCCCTAAATGTTCTCTTAAATATGATTATTTTCTTCCTATGTCACAAAAGGATCAAGAGGAGTAAACTTTTATTGGGATAGAACAGTCCACCTCAAGTCATTTCTTTCTGCAGTGTGGAAAATTTAGCTGACTGTGTGGTCTGACAGCAAGGCTACAGCACTCACTGTTCCCTGGTACAGCCATCCTTTAAAAATTTTGTCCGGCCCTTCTACTTGTTATTCCCTCCCTTCCCTGGCTCGCTCTAAAAATAGACAAGTGCTTTCCAGCTGGTGCCCTCATGCTTGGGCCCTCTGTTATTTTTTGTTGTTTTTTGCTTCAGCTTGATATGGAGCTCTCCTTTTTCACTCTAAATCTCTGCTGCAGGTTGTTCGCAATGATCGGGACTAGTTCTCTGACAAGCACTATTGTTCTGCTACTGTGTGAATCTGGTGAAGGATCTCACAAAAGACCTTCCAGGTGGGATGTGCCTCTTGGAGTTCGGCAAGCGAGAAGCATGGCAGAGGTACCTGTGGTGAAAGAGCCAAGACAAATTCACTTGGTTTTTATTTTTCCCCCTCTCACCATCCTGCACTCAGTTCTTTCCACTCATTCCTACCCTCTGGTTTTCCCTGGGCCAGGTGAGTCACGCTTTCCAGTCCCACCTGCCCTCCTTCTCTGCCTGAGTCAGCTTCTCTCAGGGAATCGTTGCTTGCCACGGGCAAGGCAGCTATTTTTGTCTTAGCTGTTTCTTCCTTACAATGGTTTCTTCTCTTTCTGCTCCACCTTTATCATTTTTGCCCTGTGTATTTGTATTATTATTATTTGCTTACGCTGTGTCTTGGTTTTGCCTTTGCTTTGATGAGTAAAAAACAGAAATAAAAACTTATTTTAAGGAAAAAAGATACCGTCTTAAAAATTCAATGAAAAAAAAATATCAAGAGCTCCAGTAAAAAGTGGATATTGCAATTATTTTCCATTGTAGTAAAATGTGTCCAATATATGTGTATCTTCCAATTCCAACAATTTCATATCCACCATTTGAAATGCAGGCACTTTACGTCAACAAAGAGAGCAGGGCCATGGTCTGGCCAGGCATTGTCCTGCCATGTGTTAGACAAGACGGAGGGTACCACCAGCCTTCAGCAAGCAAGCAAATACCAGCCCTGGCTGGAACAAACCACCTTTGTTTCAAAGAAAAGTATTGAGCCCATCAAGATTATCGGTTGAACATGTTCCAGTGATATAATACATCTGCGAACAGGAAGATGGAGCCCACGCAGTGTTTCCTGCCTGCAGGGGGGAGGTTTCAAAATCATAACCTTTGGGAAGGAGATGTTTTCTCCTACCTCCCTCTTGCAGCTTGCTGAGGCAGGGCAAGGGTGGGGGCAAAGTCTGAGGGGGTTTTGTTTGTTTAACATCCACGTTCCCGTGCAGGAGACACTGGGGAGGCAATGAGCAGAGGGAAAAGTGGTTTGGTCCTTTTACCTTGTTGGTGCCAGCCACCAGGAATCATACGTGTTAACCCTGCTTGGGTGTTTGCTCTGAGAAGAGCTGGGTGTCCTGCCCTTGTTTCACCATCATTTGATAGGCACGGTGAATCCTGGCCTGTGCCAGGGCCGAAAGGAGAAGAAAAGGGGGTATGGTTCAGATGGATCTGCTCACCTTTTAGGAAAATCCTGAAAGCGTCTTCCATGCTGAAGGTCGTCATGTTTACTGGAGCAGATGACACCGGATACATGACATCTGATACATCTGTGAGAAAGGGGAGTACTTCCCCCCCCCCCCCTTTTTTTTTTCTTTCTTTTTTTTTTAAAATTTTTTAAATTTTTTTTTTATTATTTTTTTTACAGTTTCCCTGATTTTAACCAGGCTTCTGGCTGTCTGGAGCTTTCACACCAAGTGACACCAGCCTCTGTGAAACTTGTCAGGACATTTCTGGCAGCAAAATCCCACTGAAATCTGGGCAATTGCCAAGGAGAGGTGTTTGCCCTGCTCCACCTCCCAAAGCCTGGAGCTGGTCTTTTATCTGTGGGATGCTGCTTCTCTCTTGCTTCCTATGGGACCACTACACAGGCACCTGCTTGTCCAGCAGTGCCAAGGGGTAGGAGATGCAGCTTGACTGCTTGTAGATACACAGGCAGGAGGTAGGTGAGGAGGAGGAAAGAAACCCCACCGCCTTGTACGCTGCAGGTTTTTCTTCTCCCCGTTGTTGTCCAGCCCTTTTTCTTTTTTTTTTTTTTTTTTTTTCAGTGAAACTCGCCTCAGCATCTTCTAGACCCTTTCGTGGCAGCATTATGCCAGCTCGGGGTTTCCTGCCAGCCTCTTTGGCAGGGGAATGTCCCCGCCAGGGCTTACCCCGCCTGGGAAATTCCGC